AGCAGATTGAAACAACATACACAGTAAGTAAATATTTAATAGTTGACAGACATTATTTAATAACATATTTAAAGAAGGAGTCTAAGTCAAGTTTAGTAGAATAGCCCAGTAGCAATATAGGTGGGAAAAGGACTTCATGGTTTTGCTAATTTTATGATAAGACTGCCCAAGAACATAATTTTGTCTTAGGCTGTATTAACAAAAGTATAGTCCCTAAAATAAGGAGGGTAGCCTTCTCTACTCCAGACCGTTTAGACCACAGGTGGAAACAATGCTCACATCTGGGAGGCATACTTTAAGGTCTGGTTATTTTTGACCTCAGAAGAAAGTAGAAGAGACATAGTTGGGTTTTCAAAATACATATGCTCCCTCTTCTACACACCCCAAATGCTGTCTCAGAAATCCGTAGGATATGGAGAATTGGGGGAGGCCATGTTTCTTTAGAGAAAGCTCTTCACGTGATTCCAAAATGTTCTCTCCCCCTGTCAAGAACTCTGACTGACACCCTGGAGCCTGGTGAGGAGATGGTGGCAGGACAATGAGGAGTTGGAAACCACACCAGTAGAAGGAACAGCAGGGGTGGGGACAGTCAGAGGATCATGAGAGCTGCCTCCAAATATCTGTGCATTACTGAGGACACCTGTGATTTAGTTCACGTGCTCACAAAGGGCAGAAGTATGACTGATACGTGAGAGTCCAGGAAGGCAGATTCCAGCCCAGTGGAAGTGAGAACTTTAAAATCAAGCTCTACATAAAGGAATGGAGCCGCATTCCAGCCCAGACTGCAGCAAACTGGGTGGTCACTGTGGATTCCGTCTTGTCGTGGGGAGGAGGGTATTGAGTTGAATGGCCAGTCATTGCCCTCCCAAGTTCTGAGATGCTACAGGCTCAACCAGATCCCAGGGGAGTCTTCAAGAAGAGGAAAAAGGCCTCTCTCCCACTATGGTGTAGATGCCCAGAACCCTCACATGACCCAAATGAAGTGTGGCCATCTCAGAGGTTCTGCAACGTAAAACTGAGATGCTGTGTACTCAAGGCAGGACAGCATCTCTGTAGCCATCACTATTGCCACCTGCACTGTGGCCAAGGCTGAGTTGGAGGTGGTTCGGAATTGGCCACTGAGCCTTGCTGCTTGGGTTTGAATCCCACTCCTGCCCCTTCCTAGCTGGGAGACTTTGGTCAAGATTTACAATTTCTCTGTGCCCCAGTGTCCTCATTCTGTAGAATGGGGAAATGGCATCAATCAAACTGGGTCGTTATAAGGATAAGTGAATAAATATATGTGAAGAGGTTGACAGCATGTGGAACATACCAAATGGTATGTGAGTGCTGATGACCCAAAGTAGCAGGTGGGAGGGCCCCTCTCAGGCAGAACGAACTCCCGGACAGTGTGAACTGAGCCCCTTCTGCAAAGGAGACCTAGACACCTCTGGACCATTCCACTACCAGAGAGGACCATAAGTGCGTGCCTGTGGGGCATAGGATTTGAGGGGTAGAATGACCCAGGGTGTAACTCTCTTTCCTTAGTCCTTAGGAGGACATATCATAAGCCGGCATTTCTATTCGGACCTGAATCCAATTCTGGCTGCGGGCAACGCTACCCTCAATCTGATATCAGAAGGTAAGCTACCTCAGAACACTCTGAACAGCACCTAGAGATCTTTTGTCTCTCTTTTTTTTAAGAAATTGCTTTAAGTCAGAGCCCAGGTCACTGGCTCTCAATGCACTCAGGGCATGATGATGCAAGGGGGTGGCTTAGTGCTCGCTTGTGGCACCACCCCCCACATACACACAACACCCACCGCGGACCACAGCTTGGTCAGCCCTCATGTCAGCCAGGGGTGGTGTGCAGAGGCTGCAGCAAAGGCTCTGTGCAGCCTAAGGACAGCTCCCTCCACCTCTTCATGAACCACCCCCCTATGCCCCAGTTGCTCTGTGAGAAGCCACAAATCTACTAAAGACATACTACAGACACTTCAGGCCTTCTGTGGGCAGAAGGAAGGCAATGATTAATTTTACGTGCTAGCTGACAGGGATATTCCCTCTTCGTGCTAAAGTACTCCTGTCTCCCCCAGAAGGGCTCAGTTCATACACTGCCTCCTGCTGCTCCAAGTTGCTGACACTCGCCTTACTGGACACGAAGTGCATGCCAGGCTGTGCTGGACACTTTACACGCTTCATGTCTAATCCATCCAACTACCCAGTGGAGGTCACTTGCAGAGGTGGAGGTCGGATTGGAACCCTAGCCTGTCTGATTTCCAAATGGGTGTGCTTGCCTCTTCTCCATTGGGCCGCCTCCCTGGGCCCTGGGGCCTCTAACTGCCCCTCTCCATCACTCGTCTCCTTCCTTCACCCACAGCCCATAACATACCCACTCCTGCTGTTCGTCCCGCTCAGCTGTTCTGTCATGTACCCCTCCATGGGCTCACAAAGGCCCAGGCACTGGGGTGCGAAGAAGCAATCACTGTCTCCCCATGTGAACTTCCGGGACGTGTTCAACCAGGAATTCTATCACAGGCTTCATAAGCCTCCGAGGGATTTGTTGGCCAACATAAGCCCATACCTGATTAGTGGGAACTCAGAGTGTTGGGATAGACTTGGTGGCTGAGGAAAAGTTCTCCCACCTCTCTTCACCCCTGTGTGGCCCTATCAGCCGTTTTGCTGAGTCCTCCAGGCCTGTGGTCCAAGCAGACCCCAGTTCAACCCCTAAAAACCAAGAGAGAAGAAGCCGAGACTCTGGGGCATCAGGATAGCAGGCGCAGCTTGGCCCGCACGCAGGCCTTCTACCACACGGGAAGAGGAGAAGCGTTTTTCTACTGGGCTGTTGGTTGTTGCCCTCCGCTTAAGGTCTTGTTTCCCCAGCTCTGCCAAAGCGCCTCCACCCTGAGTGAGGTGCAGCTCCAGCAGATGAGCTCGCTGAACAGCAGCAGGGCACGTCAGCAAAGGTCAGCAGGGGCTCCTTTGGGGTGCTCCTGCCTCCCCTCTCAACTACACCTACATTCCAATCAGCATATTGCTGCTCGTGTCAGAATCCGTAGGCTGTAGTTTGAGCTTTTTGCTGCACATCCTGTGGAGGCACAAACCACTTTTTAAAGCCAGAGGCACTGCTATGACCACTCAGTGTCAGCAGTAGTGCTGAAAGGAGGTTTTGTGAATTGTTCCCTTCACTTTAAAGGTGTAGATATCCTGCTTAGGAGCCAACAGCAGCAGCAAGAATGAAAAGCCAATCCGATGGTTTGAACTCAGGTTAACAGTGGAAACACTGTCTCAGCTTGTTACACCCTTCCTTGATCACAGAATCACGAGTTAGATTCAGTTAACTGCCCTCTGCTGAAAGATGGACCCAGCATAGTCCTGGCAGGCCTTGGAAGCGGGTGGAGAGCTGGTTCACACAGCAGGAGCACTGATAAGAGCAAATGTCACGAAGCTGCCACCACCCCTCCTTGTGGTGGGACGGAGGGAGCCCTGATGGTCACGTAGGCAGACCTCTGCATCACTTGGTGCAAAGGAAGATGACCTTTCCTTCTTTGCTGCTGACATTTCAGAGTACAGAATAATCTCGTGTTCTTTGTTGCCACTATGCAGAAATGTCATTTTCTTCAACAGCAGGTACGCGGCAGATTCCTCTAAATGAACATTTTCTTGCTGGGTTGGCAAGTGCAGACCTTAAGCCAGAGGAAATTTTGGAATCTGTGTATATCCCTCATTCTCAAAAGGTAAGAATTCCACCGGTCACTTTTGAGAGTTGTTTTTCCTTTTTCATATCTGAGTCCAGTCATCTTTAGAAATCTGAAAACAGATGGAAGGAAAAAAACTCTGCTCTGAAAATAATAACTTCCTGTCCACTGCGGACTGGCCCAGCACCAAGGCCCACAGACACCCTTGAGCAAGCAGCTCCAGGATGTGGACTTGGGGTGTTGTTTCAGCTGTGGGGTGGGGCCTGCTGAAGGCCTGCGGTCCTGCTTCCTTGTGATCACGGATCGACTCCGGGCAGCGGAAATTAGAGCTCCCTGGCTGTGGAATGAGCTTCTCTGCCTGATCCGCAAGGAGATGGAGGCTAAGACTGGGCTGCCCCACTCCCCAGCTGCTAACCCCAGTAGTCCATAGGAACATGAGGGCCCCAGATGTCTGCTAATACAGGATCCCTGGGGCCAATGTGACCACCCAGCCAGCTATGGAGTGGGCCCTCTGTCCTCACTCTCTGTCTCCTGTATCTCTCCCCAAAACAGTACCTGAATCCAAGAGGACAGTCTTCCCAGGGAGACGCAACACACACACACACACACACACACACACACACACACACACACACACACACACACACACACACACACACACACACACACACACACACACACACACATCAAAAGCCAGGCATCAGCTGGGTTATGCAGGAAGTCTTATATTAAGTCATGCTTTCAGCCATATGTGGTCTTCGCTTATTTTTCCTGTGGAATGGAAACTCTGAAATGTGTTCCCAGTCAAATGTGCATCTGCATAAAGGCCCCAGACAGAAAAATAAGCAGACTCAAGCACAACACCCTCAGTGGCCACACATGGAAACACAGTCAAGGCACAGGCCATATCCGTTAACTCCACGTCAGCACGCTGCCCCAGCACGACGGTCACAGTACCAAGGGGTCAGTGGGGCAGCCATCAGCCTCCTGACTCTTGTACCTGATATGATTCCTTAGTCCACCGCTGGAAAGTTCATTTTGACTCTTTTATGAGCTAGGCAAAACGGAAAGTGATAATTTCTACAAACCTAGAAGTGTAGTTGGTCTCTTTTGCACTTTGAGCAAATCACATTTAAAAGCACCTGTGTTAGGAGGGCTTCTCACAGGGCACGAAGGTGTCTGAAGACTAGAGGGAAGGGCACCTGGAAATAAGAGCAGATGGAAACAACGCGGGTGTTCCGTGTGGAGGTCTCCTGGCCTTGGAAGAAAAGTGCGCAGAGATCCCTGTTCTTTGAGGGGATGGGTGTTGGGGCCGGGCCTCTGGGAGAACAACTTTCTCACTCTGATGAGAAGTCAGCCAAGTTGTCTTCTAATTGTGCCAAGCGTCCTTTAGATTGAGTCTTAGTGATTAACTAGTGGCACCGAGGAGCAGAAACCACGCTCTTAGTTTTGACATATCGAATAACTCTAAACGGTTTTCGTCTCCACAGTGGGAATTTGTGTCAGCCTTCCGACAGGCTCAGTGCCAGCAAAATGCCTTGGCTGATGTGAATGCTGGCATGCGAGTCCTCCTCAAAGAAGGCACAGATGCCATTGAGGACCTGAGCATCGCCTATGGAGGGGTCGGGACGGCCACCGTCAGTGCACGCAAATCTTGCCAGCAGCTGCTAGGGAGGTAAGCAGGGCCCCCTGCACCCTGATGGTGAAACAACTTCAGAAAAAAAGGGGGGCGGGGAGCGGGAGGCGGGCGTGGTTAGTACTTGGATGGGAAACCACCTAGGAAGACCAAGTACTATAGGCGTGAAAAATAAAAAAATAAGGGACTATGAGCTGATAAAGTCCTTGCAATCTGTGAGATCAACCAAGGGTTGCCTTGCCTAAAAAAAAAAAAAAAAAAAAAAGGCGGAAATTTGGCTCCAGCAAGTGTCGATAAAGCCCTGGGAAGATGTGTAGAATCACTGCTTGTTCTTTCGTAATTTTGCTAAATGAATCAAACCTTATTTGGCATTGATTAATTAGGTGCCACTCTTTGGGTGAGGGATACAACAAAAATAGCCCAGCACTGCGTTCAGCCTCAGTTCTCTTGTGCACATCGACACTCCAGCAAATCCACACCGGGTAGCATCCAAGTGGCACCTGCCACTCCGGCTGCTCAGGGGCACTCTATTTCTTCCTCGGTGAAAACAGTGTCCAAGTGTGAGTCTTGTCCAGCTCATAATGGAATCGCCCCAATGGTCTATTTAACGCCAGGTTCCAGCATGCTCTCACTTGAACACGCTTGGTTCATGTTGCAACGGAACAGGTCCCATCCTCACCATGCCGTGATCCTTAGCCACTTGGTGCAGCCTTCCGAGCCTCAGTTTTCCTGAAGGGCTTGGTTAAGTAATTTCTAAGTTCCCTTCAAACTCATAAAAAAGACTCTGGAATCTTTAAATGATCACTATGCAATCTCTAGCTCATGCCACATGATTCAGACTGCCTTTAACCGGTTCCTTCCTGCTTCCAAACCTACCAGGCGCTGGAATGAGCTGATGCTAGATGAGGCTTGCAGGCTGCTTCTGGACGAAGTCTCCCTCCCAGGCTCAGCTCCAGGGGGGAAGGTGGAATTCAAGAGGACTCTGGTGATCAGCTTCTTCTTCAAATTCTACCTAGAAGTTCTGCAGGAACTGAAGAAGCTAGCGAAGCTGTTCTCTGCACCTGTAAGTGCTCCGGCGTGTATGTGCTCCTTGCAGTCATAAGCTCCCAGCTCTCCCACTATGTTTGCAAACTGTAGGCAGCCTGTGCCATTGCTTGTCATTGTTCTGGGTCAGGCCTTGTCAGTTTCCAGCCGCCCCTGCTTCTGGGATTCATGAAGCACAGGATAGACTCTCTTCAGTCCACAGATGTTTACTGTGTGCCAAGCAGTGAAACATTACAGTCCCCCCGCCTCTGGTGTACAGTTTTCTTTCTTCAAAGTCAATTTTATTGAAGTATAATTACATATAATAAAACGCACCTATTTAACTTAAATTCAGCACGTTTTGACAAATGTGTAAACCCATGTAGCCACCACCTCAAATAAGACACAGAGCATTTCCATCATCCCAAAAAGTATTCTTTCTTCCCCTTGCAGTCAACACCTCCCACCCCTGCCCCTAGGCAACCAAATTTCAATTTCAATATAGAATATAAATACAATTTTATCAAAAATATTACATCTTACCTGTATGCTAATATTTAAGTAGCTTCATTCCAGGTTTTCTGATTGTAAACTCTAAAGTTGAACAAAGCAAATTCTCTCTCTCTCTCTCTCTCTCTCTCTCTCTCTCTCTCTCTCCTCCCCCCCCCCCCCCCCTCACCCTTCTCTCATCACATTT